ATTTGTGTATCCATGTTGACAAGGATACCCTAAGAACTTTATTTTGTAGAAAAGAATTATGTTTGGTTGCTCAAATGGACCTAGGCTGAAAGCTGAGAATATCAGAAAGATGTTTAATGTTTACCTGTACATTATTGACTATGCAAAGGCTTTCAATTGTGCGGATCATGACACGCTATGGACAACATTGGGGAGAATGAATATTCCAGAACACTTAATTGTGCTCATTAGGAACCTGTACACAGACCAGATGCAGTTCTGACAGAACAAGGGAACACTGAATAGTTTAAAATTAGGAAAGGTGTGTGTCAGGGTTATATTCTTTCCCCATACTTATTTAATCTGTACACTGAACAAATAATCCAAGAAACTGGATTATATGAAGAAAAATGTGGCATCAGGATTGGAGGAAGACTCATTAACAGCCTGGGATATATATGCAGATGATACAACCTTGCTTGCTGAAAGCCAAGAGGACTTAAAATACTTACTGATGAAGATCAAAAATTACTGCCTTCAACATGGGTTGCACCTCAATGTAAAGAAAACAAAAGTCCTCACCTCCGGGCCAATAAATAACATCCAGATAAATGGAGAAAAGATTGAAGTTGTCAAAGACTTCATTTTACTTGGATCCACCATCAACACTCATGGAAGCAGCAGCCTAAATTCCAACAGCATACTGCATTAGGCAAATCTGATACCCAAGCCGTGGCAGTTTTCAATAACCTCATATGCATGTGAAAGTTGGACAGTGAATACGGAAGACTGGAGAAGAATTAATGTAGAAGATTTGAGTTATGGTGTTGGAGGAGAATATTAAAAGTACCATGGACTGCCAAAAGGACAAACAGATCTGTGTTGGAAGAAGTGTATCCAGAATGCTCCTTAGAAGTCAGGATGGCCAGACTTTGTCTCTCATACTTCAGACATGTTGTCAGGAGACGCCAGTCCTTGTAAAAGAGACATTATGCCTGGTAAAGTGGAGGGTTGGTGAAAAAAACAGGGAGACCCCCCAACCATATGGATTGGCACAGTGGCCGTAGCAATGAGCTCAAGTGTAGCAGCAATTGTGAAGATGGCACAGGACCAGGCATTGGTGAGTTCTGTTGTACATAGGGTCGCTATGGGTTGGAACCAACTAGATGGCACCTAACAACAACCTGACAACCCAAGGCTTAAATTGAGCTATCCTAGAGATGTCTCATGACTACCAAGAAGAAAAGTTGGGAGTGGACTGTATGCTATGGACCTGCGGTCACTGTGCTGAGAGCCTCCTTGACATAAGAGACAGGCAGCTGTAACATCAAAGATGGTGAGAGGCCGTGAGAAGCATCGGCAGAAAAATGGCGGCAGCAGAAACTGACCAGTAGAAACTTCTGGCCCCACAGAGCAGAAAGGAGCTGACAGTGCTTGGAGCAGGAGGCTTGTGAACAGAGTGGGGTGCTTCTGGGCTCTTGACAGAGCTAGTCTCACTGACCCCTGGAATTAAAGAGCTTCTCTGGCAGTAACTGGCAGAGTTAGAGAGCACTATAGCACTTGCCTAAGCAGGACAGAGGCCTGAGGGGCCAGGGGGGCTGAGGGCCAGAGGTCTGCCATTTAAGATCATCCTCTAGGATTTAAATATTTAAATCAACTCTGACCAAAGTTTTGCTTTGCATATTGTTGTTAGTATCATGGAGTTATGTTCCGACTTACAGCGACTCTGTATAGGGTTTCCAAGGAGTAGCTGGTGGTTTTAAACTGCCAACCGGTGTTTCGCAGTCCAGTGCTTATCCTACAGGCCACAGTAGGACTTGCTTTGCATAGCCATAGTTTAAATCCGTACAGTGGAGAGGAAGAATTTCATCCTTCATTAAAGGAAAAAAGGGGGAAGGAGTGAGTTTGGTGTTGTTGTTAGGTGTTGTGGAGTAGGAGCACAAGAGAACGAAACACTGGCCCATCCGGGGCCATCCTGACGATTGCTTTTTTTTCTTGATGTCAAACTGATCTTGTGGGTATCAACGCAATGCATAACCTACTACAGTACCAGGGCTCCTTAGCTGAGTTCTGGTTATATTCTGTTCATTGTCTCTCCCACAAGAACAAAAACTGAGGGCAGTGGAGAGGCCAGCTGATTCACCTTAGTGAACTTATCCCATTCAATTCCAAACCAAACCCACTGCTGTCTAGTCAATACTGACTTATGGTGACACCCATAAATTGAATTGAATCCCCAAAGTATGTGTCATCTTAGCTGTCATGATTCTCTGTGGTTTACCAGTCATTTGATGATGTAATGGTTCTCCTTGATGTGACCCGTTGTGATAAGCCAATAAGAGGATTTAGGGTGGGCAGAAATCCTGGTATGGCACTACAGGATAAGCACTGGACTGCTAACCACAAGGTCGGTGCTTCAAACCCACCCACTGCTTCTCAGAAAGCCCATGTAGGATTGCTGTGAGTTGGAACTGACTCAATGGCACTGAACAGCAGTAGGGATTCCATCAACCCCATAACAACCCTGATTTGATGTAAGGGAGTGTCCCAGGGTATGGCCGGCAACATCTTTACAAAGGTTAAAGGAGAGAGAAGTGAGCAGAGAAAGCTACTACCACCAAGAAAGAAGAACCAGGAGTGGTGTTGATGCTTTTGTCCTGGGTCCCTGCACTGTGAAGCTCCCAGGGCCAGGAAGACACATGTAGACAGATCTCCAAGAATGCTGAGAAGACACGTGCTCTAGAACCAGCACTCGGAATTTGGACTTCCCATCTCCTAAACTCTTGAGACAAGAAATTTGTTTGCTAAAGTCATAAAGTCGTATTTCTGTTATTGTTGTTAAGTGTCTTTGAGTCGGTTCTGACCCATGGACTCACAGAGACCCCTGTATAGGGTTTCCAGGGAGTGGCTGGTGAGCTTGAACCACGGACCGTGCGGTTCAAGTCGACTCTGCAGTCCAGCGTACTAGCCCACAGCGCCACACCAGGACCCCATTTCTATTATACCAGCACTAGAAAATTAACACAATGACTCTGCAACATAGAGTAGAATTGCTCCATAGGGTTTCCAAGGCTGTATATCATTACGGGGCTTACCATCTCATCTTTCTCCGAGCGAGTACCTGGTGGGTTGAAACCACCAATCTTGTGGTTAGCAGTCCAGTGCTCATCCTATAGTGCCATACCAGGACTTCTGCCCACCCTAAATCCTCATTGGCTTATCACAGCGGGTCATGGCTAACCCACAGTACCATCAGGGATCCTTGCCTAACATTTTTGTTATTTTTGGGTAAGTCAGGACTCTGAACTGGTTCAATCCAGCTTGATGTCCTCTGTTGAGAATTTGCATTTTCATCCCAGATATAGTGAATCAGGATCTATAGGTCAACAAGATCCCCATGTGATTCTTATTATTATGTGTATTGTTATTCGTAAGAATCACTTGGGGATCTTGTTGAAATATACATTCTGATTCAGCTCACCTTGGATGGAAATGCAAATTCTCAGCTGGGTGACAAATAAATGCATCAGTATGAAGCCCTGTGTTAAACAAATATGAGGTTGGTGGTTCAGTGGTAGATTCTTGCTTCCCATGAAGGAGACATGGGTTCTATTTCCAGTCTATATACCTCAGATCCCTTGCTTGGGAGGCCTGACCATTGCTGTAATACTCTTCAGGTTTCAAGGGAGCTTCCACACTATGACAGACTAGGAAGAAAGGTCTGGTGATCTACTCTGACAACTCAGCCAATAAAAACCTTATGGATCATAACAATTCAAGCTGTAACCAAAAATGAGGAGGTTACAGAACTGGGCAGTCCTCCTTATGCATTGTGTCACCATGAGGCCGGGCCTAATTCAATGGCCGCCAACTACAAATAAAAGCAAATTAAATGACTAATACTCTCTAGCATCCTGAAACAGAAGTATTTTCTTTACAATTTCTTTTTAATATTTGTAACGTTTATTTTTATCAATTACGAACATTTATTTTATAAATTATAAACGTATCACTTTCTTTATCATTTATTTCCTTTATATTCAGCACACTTGCCACACCCATGCTAAGTGATTTATGGTAATCACTGAACTCAACAGTGCTGACAGGCGTTTCCAATTCATAGCTGACCCTGTGTAGGGTTTCCCGGGAGCAGCTGGTAGGTTTGAACCGCCGACCTTTTCGTTAGCAATCCAGTGCTGATCCTAACAGCGCCACACCAGGGCTCCAGCCCTTTCTCTAATTCTTGGAAGTAGTTTTTCTTTATTATTATTATTATTGCCATGATAATGAGAAAAACTAAATCTTAGATAAATCCAGTAAACAGGATTTGCTTGGCTTTTGTAAAGCCAACCTTCCCCCATTTTACGCTCCTCTTTCCCAGGCTGCTGGCAAGCCCGATTCTGTTCTATTTTGCAGAGGTAGAAACTGAGGCCGTGAGAAGTGAACCGCCGCTGTCTTGTCACCCAGTAAATCAGTAGAAGGAGGTGAGGGAACCTGGAAGGATTCACCTGTTGGACTAGAGGACTAAAATCACCCTAGCCAGATCCCTCAGACAGTAGATGGAAGCTACTGGGAATAGCCCCCTGCGGGCTGGTGATGAGAGGCGGCCACTCCTCCTCGCAGGGGTCCAGCAGTCACGCAGGGGCAGCCTGGCTGTCTCCACCATGGCAATGCCAGCCGTGGTCGGGCTCCTGGGCACTTACCCAGTGCACTGGGCGGCGGGGTGGGGGTGTGTGGGTGGGAGAACGGTGAGAAGCTTAGCAGCTCCATCCAGATGCGAATTGTCCATCCCGCACTTCCCGGGCTGCAGGGGCCCCCATTAGAGCTCCGAAGGAGTCAGAATCCACACCTCCGCAAATGGACCGGCTTTCCCAGGGCCCCCCAGCCCAGATCTTCCCTGGGCTCTGTGGGTTTTGACACCTCTCTGTAACCTGGTGGGGGGCCACCTCGCACCTTTGGCCCGGATAAAAGCTTCAGCTTGGAGGTGGCTGGCCCAGCCGCCCAGATAGCGCAATCCGGCCATGGCCCAGTCGCCGCCTCCGCAAATCCTTCTCAGCCACGACCACTGGAGCTTCCCCCAGGGCTGGGGCTGGGCCGGCCACTCGGACTCCACATCCCCGGCCTCATCTTCGGATTCGTCGAGTTCGTGCCCTTGCGACGGAACCCGCGGGCCCTCTCAATCCGCACACGCGGGCCGCAGCGCCCGAGCCACCGAGACCGCCCCGACGGCGCCCAGGCGAGTGCGTCCCAGTCCCGCAGGCGGGCAGCGGCAGAGCGCCAGCGAGCGCGAGAAGCTGCGCATGCGCACGCTCGCCCGCGCCCTGCACGAGCTGCGCCGCTTTCTGCCGCCGTCCGTGGCGCCCGCTGGCCAGAGCCTGACCAAGATCGAGACGCTGCGCCTGGCCATCCGCTACATCAGCCACTTGTCGGCCGTGCTGGGCCTCAACGAGGAGAGCCTGCAGCGTCGGCACCGGAGGCTCAGCGAGGCAGCGCCATCTCGGGGCTGCCCGCTCTGCCCCGACGGCGGTCCAGCGCAGGCGCAGACACAGGGCCTGGGTTCGTCTGCCTGTGCTGCCGCATCCTGGGGGTCCCCGGCCGCCTGTCTCGGAACCCCAGCAGTACCCGAGCACCTAGAGAGCCGGGTCCCTGTCCTGAATTCCTGGTTAACACCCCCTTACCACCCTGGGATGCAGTCTTCCCCTCAAATGTCCCGAGGGAGAGACCCTGAGACGCCTCTTTGGATGTCCTTGCAAACCTGTCCTGGGACTCGGACATCCCCGCAGCCCGGGAACCTGACTGTTCCCTGGACGCCGCCCCCAACCCCTGCAGAGCTGCAGACTGTGTACCAGGTACGGCCAGAAGCCCTCACCCTTTCCCGGGGTGGGGGTGGGGCGGTCCCCAGGCTTGGGTTGGAAATGGAGTGGTCTCTAGTCCGAGTATCTCATACTTTTTACATCCCGGGTTATCTGATCTAATCCTAGTTAGTGGTGGAGGGAAAGCTGGGACGGCCCCTAACTTCTTTGGGGGGGAAAGGTGGCGTCCTGGGGAGTTCAGCCTTTACCACCGCCAGCTGGGAGAGGAAGGATTCCTCCAACTTGCTCCAGAGGCCAGACTAGAAGCAAGCAGGGGCCATTGTCAGGAAACCAGCTCCATCTAAGTGCTCTGTTGACAGTTGGGGGAGGGAGGAGCAGCACTTCCCCAGTATTGGCTTACAGAACTTGTCACATACCTGTTTCATTCATGAGGTCCAGAGCTCCGTAAAGGTCAGATGACTAACCAACATTTATTTGACAGTTACCCTGTGCTTGACAGGAAGCTTCCACTTTCAGCTCTTCCGGCAACCCTGTGAAGTAGGTCATCAATTTCATCGTGTGGATGAAGATCTGCTGTGTATCACTGTTAGTTATTATTGAGTAGACCCCTGAAGAATGCAACCCTGCTCAGTTCTGCCATCCCCACTATGGTTGCTGATTGGACCAGTGCGATCCATAGGGTTTTCACTGGCTGATTTTTAGAAGTAGATTGCCACAAACTTAGTCCATCTTTGTTTGGGTATGCAAGGCTGGCACAACTCTAGTCAGTAGGAGAGCTGATGTTTGGACCCAGACAGTGTGTGAACCACTTTACTTCAGCATCCATGATCCCAGGGTTGTCCAGAAGCAGCCAGCCACACTTGGAGCCTATCTCAGCTCATGCTCACTCAGTAGGGACAGTAGCCGGCTAACCAGCTGCTCTTGTCTTTCTTGCAGGGGATCTCCGTGTCTCCAGAGTCCTGTCTGCCGCTGGGAACCCTGCCTCACCTGCCCCACCCATCATGCCAGAGACTCCAGTCTCAGACCCAGTGGGGGTGCTGGAGCCCTAGCGCAGAGGCACTCCCCAACTCTGAGAACCAGGCACTGGGCTCCACCTTCCCGCTCAGCGAAGAAGCAAGCCCTCCCCAGAGCTCAGGTCCGCAGCTCAGCGGCTGCCCTGAACTTTGGCAAGACAATTTGGAGAGGGCCCACCTGGGCATCTATTAATGGTCTCATTTGCCCCCTTCTCAGCTAGGCTCCCTCATCTGCTACTTCAGTGATTTTCAAACTTCCTGGTAGCCAAGGATCCCTTTTTCCGGGTGACATTTTATGTGGAAGCAGCTTGTGCAATAGGGTAGTTCTTAGGCTCACTGGCTGCAGCATCCAGGGCTCAGCAGTGCCCCCACCTCCTGGACACCTCCAGAATGCTGAAGCTGCTTTAGACTGGGGCTGCTTGACAAAGGAGGCTGGGCTGGGATTGGTGGGTCCGGGTGGGTTGGGAGAAGTGGGGAGGCAGGTCCAGGCTCTGATTCTTGGTGATGGTTGGCCAGAAGCCTATATGCTTAAATATTTTTATTTCTCCAACAATAAGAATAAAATATTGATTTCTTCTGGTTTTCCTCCTGGGTATTATTGCTTTTGTTGTTGTTGTTGTTGTCAGGTGCCATCGAGTCGGAACCGACTCATAGCGACCCCATGTACTTTATTGCTTTTAGAAAAGGTAAAATGATCCCATCCCATGGGTAGCAAGTCACACTGCTCTTCCCACCTGCAACCCAGGTCGGCCAGCATTGGTGTTTGACCATATTTATTGCACTTGGGCTTCACTTCACCTGGCCTATGGTACAGAATGGCACTGGTGGGCGGGATGAGGCCTGTCTGCTTGCCTTGGCTCCATCACTGCTGCCATTTTCTAGGTACTCTCCTGCCTGTGCATGGAGTGGGTTCATGCTGCTGTGGACAGACAGGCCGCAGTACTGGGGATGCCAGAGGCCCAGAGAACTGGAATTTCACATTCTCACAATTACTCACTTTTTCTTTCCACCAAAGGACACTTGTTGAGTGTTTCCTACATCTTAGGCTTCATTTTGAATGCCAGAGAGATAAAAATGTACCCCAACTAGTAGGGTGAATTGCAGGGAAATGAACATTCAGAAGCCCAGGTCTTAAGTGCAAGGATGGGGCTTCGTGGGCCCAGAGAACAGATGCCAGCCTGGTGGGAGGCAGATTTGACAGTGTCGTTTTATTCTTGAATTATCTGATGGATCAGTTCTGGCTGCCTTGTGTCTTGAGTTTAAAATGCCAGGCACCACCTTGCGGGAAGGATGTCATTAGTTGCAGAAGAGGTGACCCTGGAGCGGTGCGTTGACGGATGTGCAGGAGCGTGCCAAGGGGAGGAAAGGGAGAGTGATGCAGGCAGAAGAGACAAGTCAGGTCCAAACAGTGCTAGCAAAGCAGCTAGCATCCAGAGTTCATGGGGGAAACGGTGCAGAGTTGGACCAGGAACTTCAAGGTTATTTGGAGTCCCGTGTGACAAGGCATTTAGCCTGTATCCTGGGTGGTAGGACGCTGTTAAAGATTGGGACTAGGGCATGAGCTGTTGAAACCTCCTTCACAGAGAATGAGGCCACGCAGGGAAGCCAGTCAGGCCACTGTGATGTCCTGGATGAGGGAAAGGGAGGCAGGAAGACCAGACTGCCTGAGTTCCTAGACGGGGAGCTCTCAGCCTCACACAGGAACTTCCACCGGCTGTCCATTGCCTACTGACCTGACCTGTGACATCAGGCAGGTTGCTCCATCTCTGAACCTCCCTGTCTCCATCCTCTAAAGTAGGAACTGGTCTTCCAACCTTCTGGAAATTGTGTGTTCTTGTTCCCACTCTAGGGCCCTTCTGCCCTGCACGTAGGTGCTGTCCACCCTAAGTAGAAGACCAAGAAAATCCTAAGCAAGGTTACCCCAGAGTCTGGCCCTGATGGCCTGGGTGGTCTTTCTACTTGGTCCTAACTTGCTGTGTAAAACCCAAACAGCAAAACAGTTGCCGTTGTGTTGATTCTGATGCATGGTGACCTGACCCCATGTGAGTCAGTGCAGAGCTGTGCTCAGTAGGGTTTGCAAGGCTTTGGGTTTTGGAAGCATGTTCTAAGGCACCTCTGTGTGGGTTCAGATACCAAACTTGTTCAGTTAGTAGCTGAGTGCGTAACCCAGGCACGCCACTTGCAGTGTACCTGGACAAGTTATAGAACCTCCCTGAAACTCAGTTTCCTCAGCTGTGATGGGTACAATAACAGACCTACCTCTCAAGGTTCTGGCTCTTGGTTCTTAATAAGTGCTTTTTGAATGGTAGCTAAACTAGTTTCATGATTAAAGAAATGATTTGGTCTAGTTCTTTCCAAGCCTGGCTGGATATTGAGTCACCTGATTCCAGCGCCCTACTCCGAGAGGCCCGGGAACTTGGGACTCTAACCAGAACCTCCTTAGGGTATTCTGAGGCCCAACCAGATTCGGAGGCAGTGGATAGTCTTCACTCATGGCAGAGGGAACTGGAGCCCAGGTAGGGGAGCATCCTCAAACGAGGTGTGGACCCCAGCTTTCTTGACTCCTGGTTTGTTCCCAAGAAGACTAAAGTGTGGGTTCCGTAGTCTCTCATGACATCTTTGGCTCCTGCCGGTCTGGGGTTAGTCCTGGTGGGGACAGATGGAGGTCTTGCTGTGTAAGGACTTGCCCTGGCTCCAAGTCCTTCCAGACGCAGGATAGGGCTGGCCTTCCCCAGTGCAGCCAGGGGCTGGACTTCAGAGGCCTTGTTCTCCCCACTCCCTTTAACATGGCTCCTCTACAAAGGCAGACGCATGGGGCTCCATCACCCAGCTGAAAAATCACAAGTGGATCGTCAGCTGGGGTGCCTGGGAGATACTGCGGGGATGAGGAAACAGGAGGTGCGGGCTACTTCCCCTTCCTCGGTCCCAGCTGGGCAGCACTTGGGTGGCACAAACAGTTAAAACACTTAGCTGCTAACACAAAGGTTGGCAGTTCAAGTCCACTCAGAAGAGAGGCCTGGTGATGGCTACTCAGACATACATGAAGTCACCATGACTTAGAATTAATGTAACTGGTTTGGTTTTTTGAGTGTTTGGTTAGGCCCTTGTACTCCAGGCTCTGGCTTCTTGCTTCCCCGTCATCTGGACTCTTCTTGGGTCAGATGCCCCTGTCCCCACACAGGGAGGGAAGGCTAGCCCTGCCTTTCAAGAGCAGGAACCCTCCTCTACTGTCTGAGCTCCATCCCCAACACTGTGTTCTCCACTGCCCCTTTCTGTCCAGTGCCTGGCATGGCATGGAAGAGGGGCTGATGCTGGCACCCTGGCTGGAGGGCATGTCAATCCACACCTAACTGGGGACCCTAGTCGCCATCTCTAATACACCAAGCACTGAGTGAACTTCACCTAGAACCTAGAGAACAGGCTAGGTTGACATACGGCACAACTGAGAAGTGATTGGCTTGCCCCAGGTCAGGGCTCAGCTCACTCCCTCAGCCTCTAGGGTTCTAGGATGGCCCAGAGGAACCTCTTGCATGTGTGGAGGGGCACAGAGCTCTAGGGCCTGTGGCTGGGCCTGCTGCTACTCTTCAGCACCTTGAGTGTTCAGGGCCCAATCCCCTGGCAGACAGAGCAGACTGAGAATGAGCTGCCCTTGTGCTCTGCGACCTTCATGTAAAGGTTCCGCAGACAGGTCTCTGGCTTTGGGTGTCCTTGCTGACCCATGGGAAGCCAGTTCTCTTCAGCCACGCAGAGCATTATGAATGCCAGCTTTGTAAACTGTCAGGTGCCCCTCGCTGGTAGCTCTAACAGCTTGGCTCCAAGGGGAGGTGGGCCTTGGACTTTTGCATTAGAAAGACAGCGGTATCTCCGAGAGGATTGAGAAGACCAGAGTATTCACATAAACCATTTAGCCCAGTGCCAGGCACATGCATTCTTGCCACCTCTTCTCCCCGGCAGGCAGGCCAGCTCTCCCCTGCTGAGTCCGGGAGCCCCGGGCAACCAGGGACCTAAGGCTAGCACCTCTCCCCAGCAGAAACTGCACAAGGGGACTTGTCTGTGAGTCCCCAGAAAGCCAAGTGCCAGTCAGGGCGGCTGGGTGCTGGCGACAGGAAGGGCTGACCCAGAGAGGCTGGGATGCTTAATCTGGGGTGAACCCAGGGAGCCTCCTGGTTAGTGATGGGACACCACTCCAGCCCCAGCTGCCTCCGCCCTTTGGCCCGCCCTACCCTTTGATGTGCAATGGCAGCGGAGATGGGGAAGTCCTAACAGTGTTGGCGGCTTCTCACAAGGGGGAGAGGCTGTGAGGGAAGAGGGCCGTGAAGCCAAGAGGCAGGGCTAATACGATAATAATGCAGCAAGGGGTGGGGGCAGAGGGATGACATATGGCAGCTGACAATAACAACTCAAAAGTTAAGGCCTTGTCCTAAGTACATGAACCTTCTTAAATCCACACCCTTCCGACTCTACCGTGCACCTGAGGAAAGTGAAGTTTGGTGAGATGGCTTTAGGTCACTTGCCCAGGGAAATGGTGATTCAGTTGGGGTTCGAAGCCAGGCTGCTGGACTCCAACCTTGCTGTAGGTGTCTGCAGGTGACACCGGTGACCTGCGGTGTTTGTTTCTTCCTGCCTCACCCACCAGTCTTGGAGATACAGCCAGGCCTTGTGGCACCATGGCTGAGTTGAGCCTAGTACAGCCTCATTCCATTTCCACCAAGGACAATGCATATCCCTGGAGCCATGTGGGTCCCAGGCCTAATTGTTGAAGTTGGTCAGGGCAGCTCTGGCCATGCTGCCAGTGGTGATGTGGAGGGCTCGGCCCCCATTTCAGGAGCTGGGCCAATTTGTCTCCACCCTGTGGGTCCCCTGCCTCTTGTCCTTAGCATTGCCCTTCCTTGTACGCTACTCCTGAACACAACCACTTTACAGTCTATAAACTGATCTCCCATGGACACACCATAGACCCTGGAAGTCACACCAGATCTCAGACCCAGTGTCACTGACTTTACTGAATTGACTCCTCCCTCTCGGGAGCTGGCTGCAGTATAAGAAGGGCCCAATCAGCATCCTCGTCTCATGCTAACCAAGACAACAAACCCACAGCCAACCAGTCAATTCCCACTCATAATGATTCCATTTTAATCTTTACCACAGTAGAAAGTCTCAGTTCCCACCTGCAGTGGTTTGGAACTGCCAACCTTGTGGGTAAGCAGCCCAATGCCTAACCCACAGCACCAGCAGGACTCCTTAATGTTCGGGGGGTACAAGCCAGCTTCTCACCTGCTTTCTGGAAACACACTGGCTCCCTTCTGTCAGGTCCTGCCCTGTGCCTGATACCACATTAGTTCCGCTTGGCGCAAGCCCACCACATCTCCTGAGTTCCTGCGCCTCCAGCCCACGGTGGGAATCCTTATGAAATGAACACTGCAGGCAGACACACTGTATAGGAAGGGTCAGAGGACTGCACTCCTCCTATGCTTTGGGGGGTTCCAGACCCCACAGACCTTCCCATGCATCCTAGGTTCCCTCCATTCCAGCTAATAGCAGAGTCATTCCTAATAAAATTTAGTACCGAGTCTAGAAGCTCACCTAGAAATCCTTTATTTACATTTGCTCTTAGAAAAAAAATACATAGATTAGGTGCTTTGTGAATTCCTCAGGTTCTGGGGTCTTTATGGGAAGGTGAGAGAAGGGCACTCCCTGTCACCCATAGCCCACCTCAAGGACATCGGTTGTCCATCAAGGATTTCTGCTCATCTGGCCCTGGAGGTGGGCTTCCCTGAGATCAGTGCAGGGCACTGAATGTTGAGCCCCCATGCCAAGGCTGGGGCAGGTTGGTAGAGGGCAGGGGCCAGGTGGTGCTTGGACAGCATACTCATCAGGCCCCCCCTCTCCCCAGTGGAGTGAAGAGACTGTGGCTGGAGACTTTGTCCTTGAGGGGAGAACACTGGTGGCTCAGGCACTAGGAATGGGACGGCTGCTAGGACGGCATGGAGTTAGGTGACTTTAAGGACCAAGGGCTATTTGCCGTTGTCTGTGAACCATTTTAATACCAAGTCCTTGTTCTGCTTCACCCATTTGATGTTGGCTTTCGTCTTCTCCAGGGCTTGCTCCAGAGCCCGAGTACCTGAGCCAAAGCCAACATCCATGTTGTCCTTCTTGAACTCCTCCAGCTATAGGAAAAACAGAGATTCTTAGTCTGAAGTTGGGTTTTTAACACAGCCTCAAGGAAAGGCTCTCTCAGTCCTTTGTGCTCCCATTCCACTAAAGTGCCCCCAGGGGCAGAGATTACAGCCTGTTCTGCTGGAAAGGGAAGGACAGCTTTCCACTTCTCCCCGGGTCAAAACCCCGATCTACGGGAAACCAAGACAGTTCCCATTGAATCAATTCCAACTCATGGTGACCCCAGAGTAGATCTGAGCTCCACAGGGTTTTCAAGACTGTGATGGAAACAGATAGCCAGGCTTTTCTTCCGTGGTGCCTTGGAGTGGATTCAAACTGCCAGCCTTTTGGTTAGCAGTTGAGTGCTGACCATTTGCACCACTCAGGTAATTTATGGCAGAGGTTGGGAAATCTGGCTCACAGATGTATCTCACCTTCACTGTGTGATTCCTCATTGACTTAATCCTCAGCTTTTAATTGCTTTACAATCTTAGTCCAATCAAGCAAAGGCAGAGAGATGTTTTAAACAGAGATCATGACAAACTAACCAGCCAATCCAAAATATGGAAAATGATTATACTACAAATCAGTCAGGTACCTCATTAGTAATAATAAACGGCTTCCTTTTGTTTTAATGAGGGAGTTTGTTGACGATAAAAAGATCTGTTAGTATTGGAGGTTCTAGTCAGAACCATTAAGCAAGAAAATGAAACAAAAGGTATCTAGATTATGAATTGGGATGTGAACTTTAAGGTCAGCAGTTCGAAACTACCAGCTGTTCCATGGGAGAAAGATGAGACTTTCGGCTCCAGTAAAGATTTTCAGCCTCGGAAACCCTGCACAGGGTCACTATGAGTCGGAACCGACTCCATGGCGCATAACCACCACCAGCTTGGAAATAAAGAAGTATCACTATCTCTAATTGCAGATGATACAGTCTTGTATATAGAAACTCTTAAGGACTCTACACAGAAACTATAAGAGCTAATAAATGAGCTCAGCAAGGTTGGAGGATACAAAAGCCATAAAATAGTCAGCTGTCATTCTATATGCAGGAATCCTGGTGTGGCGCTACAGGTTAATGCAATGGACCGCAAGGTCGGCGGTTCAACCTCACCAGCCACTCCTCAGAAACCCTATACAGGGTCATCTATGAGTTTTTCAATGACACTTAACAATAACAACAATTCTATACACAAACATGAAAAATCCAAAAATGAAATTAAGAAAGCAATTCTATTTACAATTTGTTGTTGTTAAGTACTATCGAGTCGATTCTGACCCATAGTGACCCTGTACAGGGTTTTCGAGGTTGTAAATCTTTACGGGAGCAGAAAAGCCTCATCTTTCTCCTGTGGAACAGCTGGTAGTTTTGAACTGCTGACCTTGCAGTTTGCAGCCCGATTTGTAACCACTACGCTACCAGAGCTCCTTCTAGTTACAATAGTTATCAAAAAAAAAGAGGAAATACTTAGGAATACATTTGACAAAAGAAGTGTAACACTAATATACAGAATGCTACAAAATATTGTTGAAATAAATTAAATACCCAAACAAATGGGAAAATATCTATGCTCATGGGCTGGAAGACTTAATATTGGTAAGGTGCCAATACTCCCCAAATGGATCTACAAATTCAATGCAATCTTTACCAAAATTTCAAGTGCCTTTTTTTGAAGAAATTGATAAGCAGATCCTAAAATTCACATTCAAAAAGAAGACCAGGACTGGAAGACTCAGACTTCTCAATTTTAAAAACTTACTACAAAGCTATAGTAATCAAGAGCGTATGGTACTGGTATAAGGACAGACATACAGATCAGGGGAATCGAATTGAGAGTCCAGAAATAAACCCCTCTATGGTGAATTGATTTTTGTCATGGGTGCTAACTCCATTCAGTGTGGGAAAGGGTCATGCTTTTCAACAAATGGTGTTGGGACAACTGGATAGCCAGACGCCAGAAAATCAAAGTGGACCTCTACCTCACATCATTTACAAAGGTAACTCAAAATGGGTCAGAGACTTAAATGTAAGAGCTACAACTATAAAATCATTTGAAGAAAACATGGCAAATCTTCACGACCTTGAATTTAGCAATGATTTCTTAGTTATGACACCCAAGAGCACAGCAACCAAAGAATAGATGAAAATGGATGAAATCAAAATTAAAAACTTTTGTGCATCAAAGGACACTTGCTGTTATTAAGTACCATCAAGCACAGTTCGGAATCGTAACAATCCTATTTAGGGTTTTCTAGGAGTGGCTGGTAGGTTTGAAATGCCAACCTGTGGTTAGCAGTCTAGTCCTTATCCTACAGAGCCACACCAGGACTCCTATAAGGAGTTAAAAGACAACCCACAGAATGGGAGAAAATATTTTCAAACCATATATCTGATAAGGATTTAATATCTAGAATATATAAGAACTTTTATAACTCAACAACAAAAAGAAAACTAAATTTTAAAAAATGGGCAACAGACTTGAACAGTTATTTCTCAAAAAAAAAAAAAAAAAGATACAGAAATAGCCAAAAAACACAAGAAAAGATGCTCAACATTAAACCCAAAAAACAGATGCATTACCATCTTGTTGATTCTGACTCATAGCAACCGTACAGACGAAGTAGTAGAGTTGCTACAGAGGGTTTCTGAGGTTTAAGTATTTATGAAGCAGATTGCTTTCATCCTTCTCCTACAGATCAGCTGGTGGGTTTGAACCACCAACCTCTGGCTAACAGATCAACATTTAAACCTCTGTGCCAGCAGGGATCCTTCATTGTTATTCCAAACCAGCCACGGAGTCGGTTCTAACTCATAGCAACTGACAGGACAGAGTAGAACTGCCCTTTTGGGTTTCGTGACTGTACATCTTTGTGGGAGAAGATGGCCTCATCTTTCTCTCGTGGGTTTGACCTACTAATTTTGTGGTTAGCAGTCCAATGTGTAACCCACTATGCTATAAGTACCCCTTTCATTAGTCATTGGTGGTGATGGCTGTGTGCCACCAAGTCAGTTCTGACTGATGGCGACCCTGTATAGGGTTTCCGTATGGGAGCAGAAAGTTTCATCTTTCTCCTACAGAGTAACTGGTAGATTCGAACTGCTGACCTTACAGTTAGCAGTCCAGCTTGCAATCCACTACACTATCAGTGCTCCTTGTCATTAGTCTTTGTTATTCTTGTTATGTGCCATTGAGTTGGTTCTGACTCAGAGCAACCTTGTATAGGGTTTCCAAAGAGCAGCTGGTGAGTTTGAACCACCAACTTTGCTGTTCAAACCAACCTTGAGGTCGAGTGTTTATCCTACAGGGCCACACCAGGACTCCATTAGTCATTCGTGGTTGGTGGCTGTGTGCCATCATGTGGGTTCTGACTCATAGCGACCCTGCATAGGGTTTCCAAGGTTGTAAATCTTTACCGGAGCAGAAAGCCTCATCTTTCTCCCATGGAACAGCTGGTAATTTCCAACTGCTGACCTTGAGGTTAGCAGGCCGACTCGTAACCACTCATTGTTGTTGTGGTTAAGTGCCGTTGAGTCAACTCCGACCCATAGCGACCCTGTATAGGGTTTCCAAGGAGCAGCTGGTGAGCTTGAACTACCAACCTTGCAGTTCAAATGGCTCTGCAGTCTGGCACATTGACCCACAGCACCACACCAGGGGCTCCAACCACTCATTTAGGGACGTGCAAATGAAAACCACAATCAGATACCACTTCCCATTCACTTAGGTAGTAAAATAATGATAATAATAAATTTTAAATAAAGGAATAAGTGTTAGAGAGGATGTGCAGAAATTGGAACGCTCCTAAATTCCCGGTGAGAATGTAAAATGGTGCAACCACTAGGGAAAAGTTTGGCATTCCTCAAAACATTAAACATAGAATTATCATAATGTTGTGTGATGTCGAGTCACTTCCAACTTATTGAGATCCCATATAACAGAGTAGAACCGCCTTACAGCTCTGTGCGTTGGACATTAGGCTGCTAGCTGCAAGGTCTTAGAAACACTTTGGAGGAAGTCTCCTCTCTTCTAGGGTCACTATGGAATCCTGGTGTGGCACTGTGGGTTAATGCACGCACTCGACTGCAAAGTTGTTTGAACTGTAAGATCGGCGGTTGAAGCTCCCCAGCGGCTCCTTGGGAACACTATACAGGGTCGCTATGGGTCAGAACCAACTCAACAGCACTTACCAACAACAATAGAGTCGCTATGAGTTAGAATCAACTCGATGGTAATGGTTTGGTGTTTTCGGCTTTACTCTCCACTGAGAGATCACCAGGTTTTTTCTCCCACAGAACATTTGTGTACAAGTTTTTTTGTGTGAGCACGTTTACAATTCTCTGGGACATATACCTAGAAGTGGAATTGCTCCTATGTATAAGTAAATACTCAAAAGAATTTAAAACATATGTTCACACAAAAACTTTGACACAAATGTTCATTGTGACTTTTCTTGCAATAAAAAAAAGGTGAAAACAATCCAAATGTTCATCAACAGATGAATGAAAAAATAAAATAGAATAATACAGCCACGTAATGAAATATTATTGGGCCACTGCCTTTGAGTCAATTCCGACTCATTGCGAACCTATAGGACAGACTAGAATGGTTCTGTAAGGGTTTCAGAGACTGTACGCCATGGTGTTTTCAATCACCTCATATGCATGTGAAAGCTGGACAGTGAGTAAGCAAGATC